GCCATGGAATGGCAGCAATACTTCCTCTACTCCAAGAAGAGAAGGGTGCTAACTAATGATATAGACTCCAACACATTGTAGCACTCCTGCCCACTCTGAAAGATCAGTCCACTAAGTACTAATTCAAGACTCTTGTAGCAGGCCATCCTGTGCTTATAGGTAGAATCTAAAAAAGCCAATTATATTTCCCAAACTCCCTTGCAGCAAGATTCTGAGTTAGATCTAATATTTATCAAGCAAATATATTTAAACGAGATATGAAGGTATACATGACATGTGAGTAACACACAACAGGGACCAAATTTGGAGATATTGGATACCCCCCACACACACATACACACAAGAGGGTGGGGGAGGTAGAAGGGTCTGGGAGACAGAAGAGTCTGATTTGGTGAGCAAGCTATGAAGCTTTTCAGGCTTTGAGTCATTGCATTGTATGAGCTGAGTAAGAGGTAATTTCAGCAGAAGGTTTTTTGCGAGAATAATCCCACGTTGGGTAGTTAGATATTTTCCCCGGATCTGTTGCCTTTGGCTGTATTGTTACTGACCTTGCACTATCCAAGCCAGATCCACTGGGCTCCTGGAGAGTCTTTGAACTATGTAATACCCTTGAATAAACTCCCTTCTGCTTAGCCAACTGGTGTGGATCTTGATGCACCTAAAATCACTGGCCAATACAGAGTTTTCCTGATTAAAGTAAACTTGATTAATTAAAACTCTTTTGTTTCCTAAGCAAATACAAGCTGTAGTCTCCAACACATTTATTCTCTCAGTCATCACTGCTAGGCTGGCAATAATTAAGTAAGTTCTGATTACATCTGCCAGTGCTTAGAGCAACACTGCCTGCCTGGAACCCTAGGAAAGCTAGACCCATTTAATGTACCAAATATATCCCTCTCTTCTTGTTACCCCTCTCTTCTTCTGGGTAGACAATGCTGAAGTTCTCTTTGGGTTATGAGTGTTTCCCACACGCAAATTTAAGGAGATTTAAGAAGATACTCTATGCCCTTGAGATCGTGGGCTGAGCCTGAAAGGCTGAACTTGCACAATATTGACAAAGCAGCAGTGAGTACCCATTCTACATTTTACAGACTGTGTTGCCTGAATGTGCTGGAATGGATTTCAAGGCAATTTTTGCCCAAGTGGGCTAGTTAGCAGTTTTCCAATTGTTTAGATGGGAACTCTAGACATTATAGGTCCCTTTACTTTCCAATCATCTATTCTAATTTTTTACCTTATTAGCAACAGTCAAGTCTCAAAGATATTTTCCAGTTTTCTTTCAACTTAGTAGTGAGTATTGAAGTTCTACCAACAACCATGCTGCATTCTGATATCTAATTACACAGTCTTCATATTAACCCAAGAGAATTTTCTGAACTAAACTACAAGAAAGAAAGAAAGAAGAAAGAAAGAAAGAAAGAAAGAAAGAAAGAAAGAAAGAAAGAAAGAAAGAAAGAAAGAAGAAAGGAAGGAAGGAAGGAAGGAAGGAAGGAAGGAAGGAAGGAAGGAAGGAAAAAAGGAGATCACTAAACAAGCAAATAAAACAATGTAAAATGGAGCCTGGCTGTGTGATTGACAACAAAGCTAATGACTGGGAGAATGGAGAATTGGACCATAACCTCAGAGATTCGAGTATTTGAAATAAGTAAACGTGTTTTAATGATTATTGGTTTTCCTCAAGACCACAGTATCACGTTATTTATTTTGTAAAGTCTGAAAGTTATTAGAGAGTCCGTTTCAGGTAGGTCTCATGTATGAAAAAATAAATAAAAAATGTACCTAGAAGACAAACAAGAACAAAACTTAGAACTCTGGCTCTGCTGATAGGCACCAGGCAAGATGGCTGTGGCTGAGCCATCAGATTTTTTGCTGTATTCATTTGTTACGTGAAGGCTAGATCAGATAATAGGCAACTTCCCAGAAGCTCTGCCATTTAATGCGTCTAGACAGAAAAACAAAATACCTCACATGATAAAAGTTTCATGAGTTGACAAGTGCAACTGGAAAGACAAGGCATCCCTGTGTCCATCTGATTTCCTGCTCTGTGGTTTACAAGCTAGAGAGCCTCTGGCATTATCACTGAACCTCTCTGAGCCTGTTCTTCCAGAACTCTTAGAAACAATGTCTGTATGTGGAGGGGCAGGTACCGTATCCCATTCAGCCCACTGGCACGGGGCTTTACAAAGATCACTTTCTCTTAGATCAAAGGAAAATAAAACATCAGAGCTTAGTTCATATTAATGTGATTTCAGTAATGTATAAACAGGGAGAAAGGGGGTATGAATGCAGAGCTTGCCAAACCCTTCCTCTGTCATTCCTAAGAGATACGGCACTGGCCAAGTGCATTAGGCAGGGTTTGTCTCCTCTCTAATAATGCTGCATGGGACCTTACAATGTAGTGTCTGTACAGTACATAGAGCAATGTGTGGAGGGGAAACAATCATGATACTCACCATGGAGGTTCTGACTTAGTATCACCTGCTTTTCCACCTATCTGAAGAAAATGAGCTACAATGCACAGAAGGAAGTTGCAGTCTCTATGCAGCGTTATTTGAGAAACAGTATGGAAATATATGTAACTCCCAAGTGTCACTAGTTGCATTTTATTTAAACAAAGAAAGACACATCACAGAATGTGTTTGTGTATCCCATTTAAAAAAAAAAAAAAAAAAAAAAAAAAAAAAAAAAAAAAAAAAAAAAAAAAACAACCTCCAGTCTGACACATCTTCCTGACTCATCTTCTACAGTAACATTGATTCTTTGTGCAGAAAAATGTGTAGTGCCTAAAAGGATATTTAGAAAATCTTTTACTGTTTTAGATGGGAGAGATTGGTTACTTTTAACTAAGGCCTATTAGGTATAAGGGGAAGATTAGATTTCAATAACTTATGGTCTACAAAATGCCTAAAAAGTATTCTGAAGCATGAGGCTAGTCCATTTTAAATAAATTACATACCTGCATTATTTAATATGAATAAACACGATAGAATGTCTATCCACTTGAACTATTTTTAACCACCATATTGAAAACTGAATGTGAGAAACCCATCTAGTCATCAGCTATCACTAAGTAACAAAGGGAAACTAGCTGAAATATTCAACAGTCCAACTAAAAGGAAGGCTTCTTATATTGTGTTTACTGAATACCCTTAAGGATCTTTTTCAGTTGTGGACTACCAAGTTTTTTGACAGTTTTTATATTCACCAACTCCACCATCACCCTGGACTCCTTATTTTTCCTCCCTTTTCATCAAACTTCCTGTCCCCTCTTCCACCACCTCAGGGATGATGTGTCTTCCCTGGTCACTGGATTTCATACTGAAACAGGACTAATTTTCAGTTTGGGAAGTGTAGCACAATCCTCTAAAGATCATTCATCCTGTTAGAACTACTAGTGGTGATCTGGTGAGTCTGATAAAGTTGGGGCAGTGGGAATTTTGTAGGTTCCTGTGGAAAACTCTTGCATACAGCTCAGGCAGAGAATCTCAATGCTGGAGCACAGAGGACACCTTGAGTTATCTGCATTTTGGTTCAATTACTGCTTTGAAATTAGTCAATCTGAACACTGAATCTCTGAACTTCATTTCTGAAAATACTTCCTGCTCTTTAGCTGGTCTTGTCTAGATAAGCAACAGTTGAAAGTTGGTTAAAAACTGCCCTGGAGGGCAGCCAAAATCTCAGACCCAACATCTGAGGTCCCACACTACCCAGCTGCCCTGAAGATGGAGGTAGCCCTTTCCATTGCCAACTGCATCAGAAGATGGAAAACTTGGCATGTAGAAAGAACTCTCTCTGTGTCATCAGTATAAAACACCAGCAGTCCTCAGTTTCTGGAAGATTTCTTTCTCTTATTTTGGCTAATCATCAGCATTTATCTGAATTTCTCCTCAAAATGAGTCTGGCAGGATGGATTTTCAATTTTATTTTGAGAGTCACGTACAAGGAGAGGTCAAGGGGGTATTTTACTTTGAATTTCATTGAAGCTTACGGGCGTGAATCGTCTGTGGGAGCCACATGAAGCCCCACAGCACAGGCAGCTTAGAGAATAGACATGCACTCTCTCACCATTCTGGGGACTGTAAGTCTGAGATCAAAGTGTTGGACTGACCTGGTTTCCAGTGAGACTTCTCTCTGTGGCTGGCACTTCTCCCCTGTGTCCTCACAAGGCTCTCCCTCTGTGTGTGTCTGTTTAATAATCTCCTCATATAAGAGCATCGACCATATCGAATTGGGTCCCATTCCTATGACCTCATTTGAACTTAGTTACCTCTTGAAAGTCCATGCTTCTAGATATATTCACGTTCTGAGATACTGGGGGTGGGTAAGACTTGAAAATACAGATTTGGAGTAGACAGAATTCAATCCACCTACCCATGAAATGAAAGGATTTACCACCTCTTTGGCTTCCTCCAGCTGGCATCCCACCTGCATGAAACCATGGCTACCTGCTTTACCATCTTCAGCATGAATGCTGAGCCTGGCATTCTGGGAACAAGTACTCTGCATAGTTTTAAAATTCTGTGATGAATGGGCTTGGAAAACTGAAACACTTCAAGCATGTAAAATAAGTACAAAACATATAAAGTCTATCATCTCATGTAGTAGAGGAAAGGAATAAATAGAATATCTTTCCCGATCCTGTGAAAATTATATTGTAGATAATCTGAGAGAGGTTTGATTTAAATTTTCTGCATTATGAGTTCTATAAGTTTATTTATCTTGTCCAATTTGAATTTTGAGACAGATGTTACCCATGTAACAGCCATCTTAACTAGCATGTTTTGCTGAGGCTGCATTCCTGTTTAGTTCCTAACCCCCAAGGTGCAGAGAACTTCAACTTGAAGTCAGAGACTGCCTACAGAAAGTATGCTGTGGCGCTTGCAAGTGGGTATTTTTTAGTCACTGTCCTACAGTAACTCATTTAACATTCTCTCCTGGAATAATTGGGTTTCGCCTGAGTCTCCCAGTCTATTAAAGCTGCCAGAGTGACAGCTTCTTACCTTGAGGCTTGGGCTTGGTGAGTTTGCCACAGGGCTTGGAGATGGTGACTGTCTTCTGGCAGTCAGCATTGTGAAGAGCTCGCTTCAGACTTCCAGTCCTGGTCTTCAAGGCAGTATTCAGGTCACATTCTCCCCAAGCCTGGAACTGGTATTTGCATTCAGCTAAAAAGCATAATAGGATGAAAGAAAAATTCTTTAGAGAACTTATTATGGTGATAATAAGGGCACAATTTTGATGTTAACTTTTTGTATTTAAGCCACTGTACATTCTTATGCAGTTATAAGAAATAACAAAGGGACATTCCATAACTCTTCACCCAGTTTCTCCCAGGTTTGGCATCTTGAATGACGGTGGGCCTGTGTAAAAATTGATGCATTCTAGGAGTGTAGTCATAGTTCATCAGTCTTATGTGCATGAACATGTATAATTCCATCAGTGTAAATGCATGTGATCAGCACCATCAATGTACATATAATCCCAGTGCAAGGGACCCACTGTCACCTTCTGTATAGTCACAGCCTCTTAAATTCCTTACAACCACAAATCTCTTCTCCAGCTCATTTCATTCTATAAATATAAACTTTTATGAATGGTTATTCTGGTGCCCACAGACTTTAGAAGATGGTGTATTATCCTCTTGAACTGGAATAACTGATGGTTGTGAGTTACTATATGGGGGCAGTAGGAATCAAACCCAAGTCCACTGCAAACACATGTGCTCCTAACAACTGAGCCATCTTTCTGGCTCTGAGACTGGCTATTTCTTTACTTAGCATAAATTTCTGGCAATCAGCTGAAGTTTTGTCAATCAACAGTGTATGCTTTTATACAACTAAGTAACCTTCCATGACATATATATATCAAAGTTTATTTATCCATTCACCAGCTTAAAGATGCCTAGATTGCTTCTATATTTTGGCTAAAATATATACATATGCAAATACTATATATTCATATAAGGGGTTTTGTGAAAAAATTCTATTTTCTCTGAGGAAAAAAAAAAGCCCAAGAAACTGCTGAGTTACATGGTAAGCTCAACTCATGTTTAATTTCATACAAACATAAAACAAGCATCCCCTCTGAAAAGTAATATTCTTTTTTAGTATGGCTGTGCCATTTTGTATTTCCACTGACAGTAAATACATGACCTAGCATTTCTGCACCTTCACTATTATTCAATATCATATATTTTTATTCCAGTCATTCTGATGGGCACATAGTAATATGTCACCAAGGTTTCAATCTCTCCCCTTAATGGGACAGAGAAATTGAATATCTTTCCAGTTATTTATTCATTACTATATATTCTTCTCAGGAAACATGGCTGTTGATATTTACTAACTCTCTTCCTGGATAGTTAAGGTTGTTTGTTTTAATTCTGTATTGATTTTTTGAGATTTTTATTGATGTTCAAGACATGAGTCCTTTAAGATACATCCCACAAACTTTTTACAAGTGAGTCTTAACAGTGATCCATACTATTTAAAGTCTAATTTATATGAACTCTGTTGCCATTATGGCAGTTACTGCCATTCATAAAAATGTACTCCAAAGTTACAGAGGAAGTCAAGACTACATGTGCGCATGTTCATTCTCCATCTTTACTCATATTTAGGCCACGGTGTGTTTCTGTATGGCACAAGTCGGACACTGTAGTCGTTATGCCCCGTGATGGTCAGGAAAAACACAAAGTGTGTGATGTAGGAGAAAAAGCTATTTGGGATTTTTAAATTGGGATAGGAGCACTATGGAGATGACTCTGTGGATAAAGGGCTTGCCTCAAATACACGTAAGGATCAGAGTCTCGGTGACCAGAACCCACATAAAAAGCTGGGCAGATGTGGTAACCCACCTGTAATTCTAGTGTTCTGGAATCAGAGACAGGGATCCCTGTAGCAAGCTGGCTACCTTGACTAGTAGAATCACTGGGTTCCAGATTCAATAAAAGACCCAGCCTCAGAAAATGAAGAGGAGAGCAACGGAGAGAGATATCAACACCAACCTCTGGTATCCACACACATGTGACCTGAACATATATGCACTCACAATCACACAAATGCACATGAACAACATTACACAATAAAAAACACACACACATGCATGTAGATGAATGTATATGGTTAAAGATGGAAATGTTGATTAATGGGTTAAAGATGAAAATGTTGAATATTGAATTAAAGTTGGAAGTGTTGAGAGAATTTGTCTCAAGTAGATATATCAGAACAGCCTGGAACTGACTAGAGTTAGTGAGACAAAAATCTACGAACATGGGCTATGACCATGCCTGGTAGAGTCAGTGAGCGAATCTATAAACATATCTGGAGGATGGGAAGGAGTCAAAAGAAAGAGTAATAGCAAGGGACATGAAGAAGGAGAATAAGTACAAAAGGGGAAACTAGAAAGTGAAGTGGAGGAGAAGATGGAACAGAAAGATTATTGGGAGGGCACCAGTGCATATTCTATGCCTGTATAAGAAATGATGCTTAACTACAAACAGTTTTGACTACCAAATGACATTTGGCCAGTTTTCCTGGCTGGTAGAGCAGGTTGTTTTATAGTTTTAAAAAATTAGATAATAAGGATGTTGCTAAATATCTTGCAATGTACAAGAAAAAAACAAATGAAGACAATAAAAATCCAGCCCCTGATATCACTAGTGCTGAATCTGAGAGGCAAGCTCTCTGGTCATCTTGTGTCTAAGAAAATACACTTATTTAATTAAATATAAACATGAGTTGGCCTTGAAAATGAATGATAGAAATATTCCAAAAGTATTTCATGTAGTGGATGAAAGCTATAGGACACAGGATGAGACTGACCTCCAAACTGCTTCTTCCAATTGCAAGGGATCTTACATCTCTGGGTCTTTATGGTTTGCTTGCATTCGGCGCCAGTACGTGTGCCCTCCCGGGTGCCCAGTCCACAGTCGCCACTGGTGGGCACGCACACACTCCACTGCCATTCTCCACAGTCAGATTTTTTCACCTTTTTTTCTGTAAGGAAGGAAGCAAAAGCAATCACCATCCAGGACTGTCCTGAACTTCTAGATATGGCTAAGTTCACTCCTCAGCATCTCAATTGTAGAGTCTATGACTTTTATCTCTACCTGCATTGTCCAGGAAGACAATAGGAATATGCCAGATGTCTTCTCAATGATCAAGTCAACGCACGGTTAAGAGGAGAGAGAAAGAAAACATGGGGGTGGGGAGCAGAATGAATACTACTAAATCATGTGTGTGATAGAGACTGTTTTAAGTGAATCACTAACATTTCCTTTTAGAAACAAATATTTCTGAGTGAAGGCATTGCCTCTCTGCCTGCTTCCTGACTACCACGATGTGAGCTGTTCTGCCATGCAAGCTGTGATGGACTTACACCTCTAGAACCCTAAGTGAAATAAAGCTGTCTTCTTCTTAAGTTCACTCCTCAGGTGCTTGAATGCAGCAACAAACAGCTAACTAACACACATGCACCAGATGGAATCTGGAGATTTGTATATTAAATTTTATAAAAAGAAGGAAATATTTTTGTAAAAATAAAGTCTACATAGCTTATAAAAAACTTGAAAAATGAGGAAGAAATGTCTATTAGAAGTAATGGTGGCCAGATTAACAATTTTACTGAAAATTGATGGTCTGATTTTTTTTCTGTCGATAAAAGCCATAACAGAAATGTGGTATAGGTCACAGACTAAAAGAGACCCCCAAAACCACAGCCCACTCATGACTATTCAAGGGCACATTCATTCAGGAGTAAAATGGGACAACATGAGACAAGTCTCACTTAGGGTTTCCCTACGTCATTAAAAGGAAGTTAGAGATGGTGGAAGGGACTAGAAGCAGGTAGCTGGGCTGCTTGGGTACCATCCAAGGAAGCATCTCTCTGTGATTCAACTGCTTACCCGGCTTCTCTTTCTTCCCAGCCTCAGCAATGTCCACGGCTGCCAAGATGAAAATGAATGCCAAGAAGGCAGCTGCAAATTTTCGACGTTGCTGCTGGTACTGTTGGGATGACATTTCTGGAAGGGAAGAGAGAGAGAAGAAGTGATTTCAACCTAAGTCGGAACAAAGATTCAACCCTCTGATGAAGCACCCTATCAGAAGCCTCATGAACACTGGGTTTTATGAAAATTGTATCGATTATCGCAAGTAGAATTTTATCATTTCTGCCCAACAGCTGCAAAAAGCAGTAAGTGACATGGTCGTTGACAATATTCAACCATTCTTCTTATCAGAGTCCACAGCTATTTGTTATGTATGTATGCCTCTGGGGTTGTGAAAGCAAGGGAATTTCAAGCAGATTCCTACAATCAATCTTGATGCTTGCTTCACTTGGTAATGACAACTACACTTATCTTCAGGATGCCTGGAAGTTCCTGGAAACATTCACGGTGTTGCAGTCACAGGACTCTTTGCTATAGCCATGGCAAGTGATCGTGTACTGTAACATGTACTGACTGTTTTTTATGTTTAGGTACATTTGCTGGTGAGCAGTGTCTCTGATTTCTATCTATCCCATGTTCACTTAAACACAGTATCATCCCATTATTTATTAGCATGAAACACAGAAATAGAGGTGGCATGCTATGATACAAACAATTTATAAACTGACTTTACTCTAGAACCACTAAATCCTCAGATTTGGGGAACGGTGATTATACTTGCTCAGAAATCAAAATGCTTCTCATCAGACATGAATAAAAATCCCTAGATAACACTAGAAAGATCCCTGCTTTATTTAAAGATACTTGTGATAACTCTCTGCCAAGATGTTTGCCTTGCCTAAACACCCCCGAGGAAGCCACTGACTACAAACTTACTTGATAGTCATTTACCTCCATCAGCTGTGTTAATGGTGTTGTGTAGATCACATGAAAGTGTACAAGTAATCTTCGGTTATTGTTAGTGTGGCTGTTTTCTTTTTTCCAAAACTGGCAATAGATTAGTTTTTAATGATTTTACAATCACCTTAGTGAATAATAGACTACTCTTGTGTGTGCACACTCATGTGTGTGTATGTATATAATGTGTGTGTATGTGTGTGTGTGCATATGTGGGTGTTGATGATCACTCTATTCTGTAGCTTGGTTTTCTAATTCATAAATATCTGAAAAACGATACCATGGTTACTAAGCCTGTAGCAATTTCTATGACATTAGAATTGTCACTTATTAGAGTAGTATTTTGTTTTGCTATCAATGACTAGATTCGATAATATGAATAAGCATATTCTGACTACAAACTAAAATTCACTTTTTGATCACTTAGCTGCTGTGGGATGGTCTGTATGTCAAATGTGTTGCTCATTGGTCAATGAATAAATCACTGATTGGTCAGTGGCCAGGCAGGAAGTATAGGCGGGACTAACAGAGAGGAGAATTGAGAGAACAGGAAGCTGGGTGAGGGAGACACTGCCAGCTGCCATCAGGACAAGGAAGATGTAAAGTACCTGTAAGCCACAAGCCACGTGGCAAGGTATAGATTAATAGAAATGGATTAATTTAAGCTGTAAGAACAGTTAACAAGAAGCCTGCCACGACCATACAGTTTGTAACCAATATAAGTCTCTGTGTTTATTTGGTCGGGTCTGAATGGCTGTGGGACTGGTGGGTGTCAGAGATTTGTCCTGACTGTGGGTCAGGCAGGAAAACTCTAGCTACAAATGGCGCCCAACGTGGGGCAAGAGTTTCCACCTAAAACCTGAGAAAAAAGATTCTAAAACGGAGCTAAAAACAGTTCCTAGTTGTCTCTTTCAAGTTAGTGGCAGCCTGCCGGTTTGAGCTACTGGCGGGTTCCTAGCGTGCGTGCATGCTCGACCTACAGTATGGTGGGAATGAGGCCTCTGCAAGTGGCACATTAAGCTGTGTGGTGGATTTAGCCTTTGCTAGTACAAAACAAAAAAAAAAAAGAGGTTTCTGGGCTACACACTGCTTTGATAGAAGCATAGACCCACTATTTCTGAGAGTTGTTGGCTCTCAGAGTTGGCGAAAAACGTATCACCGCCATGTTGGGAAGCTGAAGTGGGTGGAGCCAGCAGCCACAGCGCCAGCGCCGTTTCAGGCTTAGAAGGCTACAGTTCAAAACAATAGGCTCAAGCTAATATAAAAAAAAAATAAGCCACGTAAAGATGGCTACCACACAGAGAATCTGGATTATGTTCTCTTTGATATTTGTAACTAAAAAAAAAACATTTGATTACAAAAGCTGTTATGCCAAAATGTATATTTTAAAGGTACCTTGACTTCAAAATTTGGATGTAAGGATACCTTGCTTTGGAAAGGAGGCTCTGCTTTTGTTTCCACAGAAAGCCAGAGGCTATGGATTTGTTCCAGATTAAGACACATCAGGTTTGACCAGCCAAGACCACCTGAAAGGTCTCCGATGACACCATGGCCCAGATGATCCAACATCCAAAACCGTTTCAAGGCAACTGGCTCAGATGATACACCCTCATGGACTACTCCATAACCCTAAAATATTCTTTGTGTCCCCATAAGATACAGCGCCCCCCTCCAGCAAGAAGTAGTAAGAAAAGCTACGCCCAAATTCCCAAATATACCAAGCTGACTTTAGAGATGTGTAAAGGTTAAAACCTTCCTTTTTAAGAAAAGAAAATGGGAAGTGCTGTGGGATGGTCTGTATGTCAAATGTGTTGCTGATTGGTCAATGAATAAATCACTGATTGGTCAGTGGCCAGGCAGGAAGTATAGGCAGGACTAACAGAGAGGAGAATTGAGAGAACAGGAAGCTGGGTGAGGGAGACACTGCCAGCCGCCATCAGGACAAGGAAGATGTAAAGTACCCGTAAGCCACAAGCCATGTGGCAAGGTATAGATTAATAAAAATGGATTAATTTAAGCTGTAAGAACAGTTAACAAGAAGCCTGCCACGGCCATACAGTTTGTAACCAATATAAGTCTCTGTGTTTACTTGGTCGGGTCTGAATGGCTGTGGGACTGGTGGGTGTCAGAGATTTGTCCTGACTGTGGGCCAGGCAGGAAAACTCTAGCTACACTTAGCCCTTTAAAACATGAACCTGCTTTGCTACTCACACACCATTTCCATACCCATCTACAATCCAGGATTGGCAGCTTTGCCTTTCCTAATGCTGCCTTCTTATGACGCTCTTACTAAAATGTCCCTAGCAAATCTGAGGCGAGGCCTCATCTCGTGAGGAGATGTAGAAAGCCAGCCTAGACTCTGATTTGCAAGCTTGTCAAGAGTTCTCAGAGATGAGGCCCCTGTGCACCTATATGATGCACTTTTTCCTGGGACATTCAAGCACCATTTAAAATGGTTAGGCATAAAGTGAGCCAGAGTCCTTGCTTTCGCCAAAGGCTGCCTAAGCACCTTCTTTCAGTGCCTGAGAACTAGGGTGAAACCTTTGAGAATTCATAAATGGCAAATTAACTCTTTCATCCAGGACTTTTCAACATAGATTTCAACTTAGATTTTGCTTTCATATGTAAAAATTACCTGTAAATTACTTTAACTATATTGTTATGATATAGATTATTGTGATAATCTGAACATTCCCACTGAGAAAGCACAACCCTGAAGAAAACTTCCTGACTAAGCAATGGGGTGATGATCCCCTGGTCTGAATAAATGTAGTCAATGAAGGGATCAGAAGTCATTCTGATTAAACCAATATCTTAATATCTCAGTTTTTATGGGAATATAAAAAGAATAAAGGTTTAAAAGAAGAGACAAAGAAACAGAATGAATAAAATTACCCAAGTGCACCAAACAGTATTTAATACTATTTGAGTGCTCAAAAAAAAACACTCAGTTAACTTCCTGGCAATAAATATGTGGTAATTAGTATATGTGCAGATAGCAGCTTGCATGTTGTATCTGAATAGTTGACTATTTATTCTCAGCATCAAATAAAAGCAAAACCTTTCCCTGCACATAGCTTCACTTTGCTTATTCTCCAACATGCTGGGTACCAGATGAACATAGAAATAAGAACAAGCCCCCCTCAGACACACACAGCAATTAGGGAAGCAGCTAATTATTTTTCACACCGAGAAAAAGAAACAATGAAAGGATAAAACTTACTAAATTGGCTGGGTTCTTTTGAGAAACTTCTTTATGTCTTCCCACCTTCTGCCATCGTTATTATATTTGACCTGACAGCCGTAATTCACTGGGTTTAACAAATTGGAGACTACCATAAATGGATGCTGGGACATAGTATATACTGTTGAGGTATCTCAGTGAAGTCTGAAACCCGATGACAAATAAAGGAACTCACTGGAGAAAAGATTCACTTGTTACACTTTAGCCTCCTCTGAGACAGGGCTGATTAGAATGCAGGGAACTCCTCCTCCCTAAAGCATTGTAGTGGGGTCTAAGATTTTGAAAACTGCAACACCTGATGTAAATATATACAAGGATACTGGAAACTGTCCGTGCTTGCCCTGTTTAGAAAGACTAATACACTATCTGGAGGCAGAACTTATTACTCAAACTTTAATTCCACAACTGATTTTACTTTTGTCTTTGAGCAAACTCAGAATGTCACAACTAATTGAATAGGTTTTGATATCAAAAGAGTGGGAGTAAGTTGTAGGGCCGATAATAAATTAACTGCTGGAGACGCTTCTCATAAAAGCTACAGGATACAGACAGAGAGATAATACGGAATATTAGGAATTACATTATCAGCTTGGCTCACCTCTACAGCTCTGTGGTTTGCATATAAAGTGTCCTTTGTGAATTAGAAGCTTGGTCCCCAAATCTAGCAATTAGGGCTTTGAGGAAATGAGTGGACTGTTAGACAGAGTCTGTCTCTATCCATGATTCAATCCATGGATGTGTTAAAAAATATGAGTAGAGTACTAAGAGACAGTAGAACTGTAGAAGGTGGAGATAGTCGGTCATCGGGACATGTCTTTGATATCTCACCCCACCCCCTTTCTGTTACTTCTCTCTGTTTCCCCACCTCCGTGAAATGAACAGACAGACATGCTCCTCCAATATTCTGTATCACTTTGGCCCTCAAAAATGAAGT